GAGGATACAAGTAACTTCACTGGCTTTTCTCAAATACTGCACTTCGATTTCCTCTTTGGCAGCGAAAAAACGGCTAAATACCAGAGAGGTGTCAACAACTTCTTTCGCCTTTGACTTAAGAATCGAAGCCACAGATTTGGAAAATTCACTTTCAGAGTTTCGTTCGATCTCCTTAGAAAAGATGCCTAACTTTTCCCCACGTCCACTGGACGCAAAGTCTTTGACAAGTATGTCGATGTTCGCCTTGTCTGCATCATCCTGAGATCGTGTTAAGAGGGTGAAATTCAAGTTCTCAATGCCAGATGTCTTCAAAGGTTTTAAAAACTCAACTTTCTTTCTGCTGCTGAGAATAGTTATGCCTTTCTTGACAAAAAGCATTGCAGTTTCTTGCAGCTCATAGCCAAAAAAATAGGTCTACCAAGGACTAAGACAAGAAAACTGCTACCTGTGTAGATATTGTTTTACCGTAAATATCCTCCGATTTGCCATTAAGGACGAGAAAAGCATCGACATCGGAGGACTTGTTTTCCGAGGACTAAAATTTAAAGATAACATAGCCCGAGCTACCTCCCACTGTTCGTAAAACCGTTTGATACGCGAGTTAAAAAGTTTCAGATCCAACGAAGCGGTCATCTTTCAATTTTGCAAACAAGCCGCCTGATGTAGTTCACCAAGTCATTAAATTTTTCGCCCAATCAACTTGCAGCATTTCTGACACATTCGGAGTCGAAAGCTGTATAGGGAAGCATCTTCTTTATCGAAGAATATTTAAGTTTGATTAAAAATTATACATAAAGAAGTTAGATTAATTGTTTTGCGCAATGTCTGCTCCTGACTTTGCACAAACATTTGAAACTAAGCAATTTGTATTCAGACACCTAACATGGAAATTATTTAAGATTTATCTACAAGCTAAATATACACTTAGTGTCTAAACTTTTGCCACAGCGACCCAAGACTTTCAATAGGGTGGTAGAAGTCAATAAGTGCAGTTGGATACATGTATTCTGAAGACGAGAGGACAAATGGACCTGGGCATGGCCCGAAGGCCAGCCCACGTGTACAAGGGCCAGACAAATCCTAAAGCGGCCACTAATCGTCATTTGGCCACATAAGGAAGCACTACACTTACAACATTTATCGTGAGCTTGGGTCAAAAGGAAGCACATTTAATTTTCGCTTGAGAGTGAAACATAATAGAAGGGGCGAAGCTGATGCAGAAATGTGAGGTTGATGGAGATGAGGCCGGTGTAATGTCTCGGGACCTTATGCAAGTTAGTGTAGTGTTATGCTTATGCTGGCGCATAAAATTCGGCAGCTGCTTTAAACTTTGCCTGGCCCTGGTAAACGTGAGCTAGCCTTCAGGCCACGTTCAGGCCTAATTGCTTTGTTCTCCTTGGAACATATGTACCCAGCTCCACTTACCGCACCTTAGAGCCGGTGGGAAGTGTTGAAACGCTGCAATAGTTGTACCACTTTGTTTGTGTGACCACCTGATGTCTGGTAGCTACGCTGGCGTTCTCCTGACCCTCGTACTCGTAGGCTGGCCTTCGGGCCAAAAGAAGGCTCAATTTGTAGCGTTCCGAAACGCACCACTGGATGGAATAGGATATAAGGTAGAGCCAAATACATGTGTTCCAGAGAAACCAACGAGATTAGATCTGAGTTCGGCATGAAGTTTAGGCTAAGCGTATATGAACTGGACGAATCTTAATGTAGGCGCTTGATATGAGGTAATCATATAAACAAAGTATTACGCAATCTCCTCTTCCCCCTCCCTCCTAGAATATATGTATTCAGCTTAATTTAATGCCCTCTTTTACCTAATGGGAAAGCTTGGGTCGATACCGCAGTAGAACACCTTAGGTTGGGTTAAATGCTTGTATTTTGGGAACATGGAGATAAGGGCTTGGATTACAGACCAGTCCATTTAGTCAAAAGCAAGACCTATGCCCAAAGTAGCCTCCAGTCATACCGATACCACTTTGTTTATCCGGTCACCTGATGTCTGGCGGTCAATTCATTATTTTTTTTCTTGTAAGCGTGATCTGGACTTCGGACCATGCCAGAGCTCTATACCTTCTTCTTCTCCTAGAATGCGTGTATTTTACCCAACTTGGCGCCTTCTTCTACCTGAATGAAGTCTCGAGATGCTGCGGTATTACTTCCATAGCTGCCTTTAATATTCTGGGAGCGCATTTGTAGATTTCGTCTCTAG